CACTTGAGACTATGCTCCGAGCTTGTGTTCTTGACTTTGGGGGCCATTGGGATAACAATTCTACCCCTGATAGAGTTTGCTATAACAACAGCTACCAAACAAGTATGACATGGCTCCATATGAGACATTGTATGGCTGCCCATGCAGATCATCGATCTGTTGGGAAGAAGTGGATGATAGAAAACTGTTCGCTCCAAACCTTGTAGAGGAGACTAAAGCCAAAATAGTTAAGATGAGGAAGAACATTCAAACAGCTCAGAGCAAGCAGAAGAGTTATGCAAACACCCGGAAGAGGAATTTAAAATTTGTGAAAGGCGATCGAGTGTTCTTTATGGTCACCCCTTTTAAGGGAATTAGCAGGTTTGGCAAGAAGAGAAAACTAAATCCCTAGTTTATTAGGTCATTCGAGATCTTAGATAGAATTGGTACCGCCACCTACAGACTGATCCTGCCTCTAGAACTTTTCAGTATCTATAATGTGTTTCATGTGTCTATGCTACACAATACAACTCGGACCCCTCTCACGTCTTGGCCCACGAACATCTTTCACTCCAGGAGGATCTGTCCTATGAGGAAGTACTGGTCAATATTATGGACTGAAAGAGCAGATTACTCTACAACTAGAAAATTTTCTTCGTTAAGGTTATGTGGCAAAATCACACACTGAAAAAGGCCACATGGGAACTAGAATCAGACTTCAGAGCCCAATATCCCCAGCTGTTTGATTGAGAGTGAGAGAGACAAATTTGAGAGACCAAATTTCTTTTAAGGGGGGGAGAGTTGTAATACCCAAATTAATTTAATTTTAAATTAAATTAATTACAAATATAATTTTTTAATTTTATTTTGGTGTAAAAATGAAGAAAATGTGATGGAGGATGAAATTAAAAAAAATTGGAAAAAAAAGGTGAAAATTTGTGTTCTAGGGGTATTTTTGAAAAAAAAATTAGAAATCTATGGTCAAAATATAATTTAAAATTTTTTTGCCATATATGATGCCCGGTCAGAAGCCTCAACGAACCAGGACGTGCCGCATGGCAACGGACGCTGATGTGGTGCCATGCAGGAGGCCACGCGGGCGATCCACGTGCCTGCTATCGAATGACACAGATCCATTCCTGCGCGCACGGACGGCCTGGATGCGTTCCCTCTCCAAACACAATTGGATGGCCGGATTTAAACGTGATCAAACGATTCAGATTAGATCATGATGAACGACCCAGATTAGATCGCGATGAACGTTCTAAATTTATTCCCTATTTAATTATAATCGGACGGTTCAGATCAAACGCGATGAACGGTCCAGATTAAATGGAGATGAATATAAATAACCCTTTTCACACCAAACCCTAACCCTAGCCGCCGGACACCCTTGTCGAAGAAGAAGACCCAACCGTCGGGAAGGAGAGTTGCCGCCACCCGTCGCTGCACTAGAGCCCTTTTCGATCGCAAAAAGAGGTAAAAAAAATTTATTTGCTCGGAATTCAATTTTAAACACTACCGTTGCCAAATCGAAGCAAAACAATTGACTGATTGGCTGAAAACTATGGCAAAACCTGGCAGTGCCGCCGTGAGAAATTTAGCAAAACGTCTCCGATGAGCCCCTTCCCGATTCTCGTTCGGCGTAATATTTTCACCATTTTGATCACCGTTTCCTTCTCTATAGTTTGACCAGAGCAAAACACCCAACCGCAACATGAGCCGGAGGAGCAGCCGCACCAGAGAGCCCTACCGCTAGTGAGTTTCATTTTTTTGTGTTTTTCAGCTAACCGATGCCCCTTAACGTGTTTTCTCGTAGGGATCGATGCAAAATCGACCAAATTCAGTCAAAAACAATCGAAAACAGCCGATCCGAGACAGACCACCGCCGCGAGTGGCGGTGCCATCACCGGAGCATGGTAGAGCTGCCATGTCGGAATTCTAAAATTTGCCAAAATTGGACCCTAAGGCTAATTTTGGATTTTCTAGGATATTTGTAGGTACTTATAGCATGTTTTGATTCCCGAAGAAAAATTCAAGTGACCCGGGGACTGCTAGTAGGTGCAGTCAACAGTTTAGCCTTTCGGACACTAAATTGAGTAAGAATCCTTCACTCTATCCTCTGTTATGAAATTGAAGTTTAATTTTAAATAATACGATATTTTGTGAAACTTAGAAAATATTTATAATTAATTACGGATTACTAATGGAGCTAGAATTGAAAATTGTTCTCTGTTGATTTCTGTTGATTTATTTTACAGTTTAAATGCATAATAGTATTTGATTTATCGATTTTATGATTTGAACACATGTATTGCTGCCTTACGTGACTATTGTTAAATTGAGAAATCGAGATATGATTGGATTCCCTGATGCATATTTGTTTATTTATGTGATTACGGTTGATTTGAAAAATGGAGACTAGAGAAAAACAGAAAAATTGTGTGATTAGGTGAATGGATGAAATGACAATCTTACTGGATATCTTAAAAAATGGTGGATGGACCAGGTACAATAGGGAACCCAACCGTGAACGTTGTCTCATACCGGATAGGGTATCGAGATTTGATAATTTAGTACTCATACCGGACGAGGTATGGGGACAACCTGTTTCACCCTCATACTGGACGAAATATTGAGGTTTAGTTGTTTGGTACTCATACCGGATGGGGTAAAGGGACGACCCTTTAATTGAGAATGTTGAAGGAAATGGTTCAGGTGTAGCGGAGATATCCCTATGAACCCCTATGGATACCAGTAGGCCGATAAAAGGAAAGGTTATTGTTTGATTTATTGAACATGGATTTATAATGTGTGTCTGTTACCAATTACATATAGAATCATGATAAGTACTATGTTATTGTCTCCATAGGTTACTTTTATAAATCTCATTGCATTAAGTAGATGATAAATGGTTTTATTATTAAGAAATGTATTTGTTTAATTAAATACTCCATTAGTTATTTTGATTTCTACCAACCTTCATTTCTGTGTCGGTGAGTAGCGTAATATTCTTACTGGG